GTAATAAGTTGGAAATGTTGACCATTAAAAAGCTCACAGACTCCAGAAGCAACATTGATATGCAGTTGCTAGCGTAAAATAGTCACAAATATTCGGGGTTCGACAACGATTTTCCTTACAATCTGTGGTTAGCAACCTAGTTAATTCACATGTAAGGGATAAAGTAGTTCGAAGGTATATTCGAAAAGTTGTCGGTACGTTGAGTATTGTTTAGTTTAAGCTGGCTAATAATTACAAGGGATGCGTAGCATGTCGTTACTTATTTAATTTACTTACGCCTGTTACTCCTCGTGAAGGAGCATAGGCCGCTCAACAGTATTCTCCATCCAACCCTGTCCCGAGCAATTCCTTCAAGCTCTTTCCAGTTTTTATTCATCTTTTTCATATCCGCTTCTATTTTAACGATGTAATGTGTTCTTTGGCCTTCCTTTTATCCTCTTCCCTTCAGGATTCCAAGTTAGCGCTTGCCTCGTGATGCAGTTTGATGATTTGTGTAATGTATATCTCATCCATTTCCATCATCTTTTCCTAATTTCCTCTTCAGCTGGAAGTTGGTTTGTTCTCTCCCACAAAAGGCTGTTGCTGATGGTATCCGGCCAATGGATGTCGAGTATCTTGCGTAGACAACTATTTATAAGTACTTGTACCTTCTTGATGATGGTTGTTGTGGTTCTCCAAGTTTCAGCACCGTACAATAGAACTGTCTTGACGTTCGTATTAAAGATTCTGACTTTGATGTTGGTTGAAAGTTGTTTTGAGTTCCATATGTTCTTTAATTAAAGGAATGCTTTCCTTGCTTTGCCAATCCTCACCTTTATGTCTGCATCTGATCCTCCTTGTTCATCGATGATGCTTCCCAGATATGTGAAGGATTCGACATCTTCCAGTGTTTCGCCATCAAGAGTGATTGTACTGCTGTTCTCCATGTTGCGTTTGAGGACATTAGTTTTCCTCTTATGTATGTTGAGGCCTACTGATGCAGAGAATGCAGCTACATCGGCTGTCTTTATCTGCATTTGTTCGTGTGTATGCGACAGAAGGGATAGGTCATCCGAGAAGTCCAACTGGTCTAATTGTTTCTGAGCTGTCCATTGTATGCCGTGTTTTCCCTGTTGATCTCAAAGTTGAGCGTCTACTGAGTCTTTCATCCTGTTCAGCAACACTATGTTAAAGACTTTTCCTGGTATTGGCAGTAGTGTAATGCCTCTGTAGTTTTCACATTTGCTCAGCTGCCCTTTCTTTGGAATCTTGATGAGGTCTCCTTCTTTCCAGTCAATCGGCAATTGCTCCCCCTCCCAAATCTTTTTGAATTGAAGGTGAAGCATGTTTTAGCTACTTTGATGTCTGACTTCAGTGCTTCAGTTAATATATTATCGGGTCCTGCTGCTTTGCCGCTCTTGATTTGTCTGATGGCTATTCTGATTTCTTCAGTCGTTGGTGAATTGACATCTATAGGAAGATCTGTGTGTGTGTCTTTGATGTCCGGTATATTCACTGGAGCCGGTCAATTCAAGAGTTCCTCGAAGTATTCTACCCATCTGTTCCGCTGTTCTTAAATTTCAGTGACTGGCCTTCCTTCTTTGTCCTTGACCAGTCTCTCTGGTTTACTATATCTTCCTGCTAGTTTCTTCGTTTTATCGTAAAGCAGTCTCATATTTCCTTCTCTTTCAGCTTTTTTTGCTGTCGTTGCTAGTTCTTCAACGTATTTCTGCTTGTCGGCTATAATGCTCTTCTTCGTTTGCTTGTTTGCTTCTGCATACCTAGCTTGTGCTTGGACATTCTCTGCTCGTGTTCGGCTGTTGTTGAATGCTATCTTGTTGTTCTTCCTTTCTTTAATCCAGCTCATTGTTTCTATAGAGATCCATTCCTTATGATGATGCTTCTTGAGGCCCAGAACCTATTGGCACGTTAAAGTTAATGCTAATTTAATACCTTTCCATTTGTTCTCCATAGCAGTTTCTTCTTCCTTCAGTAAATCCTGTAAGGCTTGGAACCAATCGTTGAGAGCTATCTTGAATTTGTTAGTATATTGAAGGCTGAATTGAACCTTTGTAGTGCTGTTTGTCAAGTTCTTCTTTAGCTTCAGTTTTAAATTGGCCTTAATTAGGTGGTGATCTGAAGCTATGTCAGTTCCTCTCCTGGTTCTCACATCTTCAATTGTCCTTCGGAATTTTTTAATGATGCAAATATGATCTATCTGGTTCTCAATGCAAAATATGCAAACAAATTATTCCATGTTTTACCGACGTATGGTTATTCATTAGCAATTTTCATCCCTCTTGCAATTTTAAGGACAATTCACATTACTATACTACAATGATCATTGTTTTCATTTGAAAGTGCAGTTTCTGAGGTGTTCCTAGAATTTGCCTCAATGCTTAGAGTACGCAAAGAATATTTAAAGCTTGCAACACCAATAATAATAATAATCATAATTGCAGTACATTTAGGTTTTTCATTAGCTCTAATGATAATCTTCTCTCATGGATCTTCACCTGTACAACATCCTCTATCTCATACCAGTTATATACATCAACAAAATGTTGTGGAAAATAATGAACAACCTTTAAACATCACTGTATAAACTACTAAAAGCCAGTATGTCATTAATTCATCTGTAATTTTGAATCGAGCACTGCTGTTTTATGTAGAAAATTTGTTAAACATCGGTAATATTAGTACTACTACTAATACAGTTCACTATTATAAGCTTTTGTACAGGTGCAGTTGCTTTCTTTCTTTCTGCTTGTTTATTACTGCTTCTGAATTTTACTGTCATTTCCACAATCCATAAATGCATGCATAACACTGTGATATTTATTGCATTCATTTTTTAAACTATTTTCAAAATATACGGACAGCACAGCGAAAAATAGCGAACCCTATCTTTTGTCAGGTTTGCATTAGTGCGTGGGCGCTGAAAGAGGCCAGGTTGAATGCGCAGTTTCAGGAAGACTGGTTCAACAAACGTGGTTCGTGTCGGCACTCAATTTTCGACCAGTCACTGACTTGAGATCGTTTAAATAGGAAAGAATTTCACCCATAGGCAAGTTGCTGCATAAGTTGAGAGATAAAATGCACAAAATGAGGATAAAAGAAAGTAGATGAGTGACGTGTTGCAACAGAAATTAAACTGAATGTTATCAAATGACTTGGAACCAGTTGTTGAGAGCTATCTTAAATTCGTTGAATCTGTTAGTACCCCGAAAGAAGGCTGTATTGAAACTTTGTAGTGCTGTTTGTCCAGTTGTCCAGTTCTTCTTTAGCTTCAATTTTAAATTGGCCTCAATTAGGTGGTGATCTGAAGCTATGTCAGCTCCTCTACTGGTTTTCACGTCTATCTGGTTCTCTGTGGTGTGGTCCGGTGAGATCCATGTAGCTTTGTGTATACGTTCGTGTGGTAATATTGTGCCGCCTATTACCAATTTGTCAAATGCACACAGATTTGCAAATCTTTCCCCATTTTCGTTTCTCTCTCCCAGTCCATGTCATCCCATGATATCTTCATACCGGGTGTGGCCTATTCCGACTTTGGAGTTTAGATCTCCCATCAGAATGGTGAGGTCCTTTCTTGAGCACTCGGTTATGATTGATTGCAGCCTCTCATAGAATTGATCTGTAATGTCGACGTTGCTGCCATTGTTGGGTGCATAAGATTGGATAATGTTCATTATGATCTCCTCCTTCTTTGTTTTTAATGATGCTTTGATGATTCTGAATCCGTGAGATTCCCATCCTACAAGTGCATTTTGTGCTACTTTGGATAGCATTAGAGCAATTCCCTGAGTGTGTGAGGTATTTTCCTCTTCGTGACCGGAGTATAGCAGCATCTCTCCTGTATCTAGCTTTTGTTGTCCAGCTTGGGTCCAATGGGTTTCGCGGATTCCCAGTACTGCCAAGTTGTATCTCCTCATTTCCGTTGCTATTTGACTGGTCTTCCCGGTCTCCCACATTGTCCGGACGTTCCATGTACCTATAAAAATTGTTGCTCTGGTTGTTAGAAGGGGCATCGGCCTTGTGACTTTCGAAGGAACTCGTCTTCCACCATGAGGTGTCATAGTTCTTCTAAGTGGAGACATTATAACTCTTAGGGCAGAGTTTAAATGGTTAGAATTATTTTTAATGGTTCGCGCTTTTTGGCGGCAGTAACTCTAGAAGAGCTACAGGTGGAGTTGTAGCATGGCATACTCACTTTTGATCCGATACGGATCTTTGGTCAGGCATATTTATTCAAGGTAGGTACATCATAACAAATGGGGGCAGTACCAATGTTGAAGTTTTACAGAACCATTTATTTTAGTGTGGTAATGTCGGTCACCCAGAAGCTATAACATCACGCACTTGCTATTGGTAAACACTCTTCCAACAGGCTCTATGCACAGACGTATCTGATTATTATTGCTTAATATTAGGTGCCATGTGGCACAACATAAAAAGAGAGAAATGTATGATGAAAGTTTCCATACATCGTATTCTTTGTCTATTTGTCATCATTTTTCAGTCAACCTGCAGATGAAATAAATGAAAATGTAATGGAATTACGACTTGACTGCTGCCGCACACAGTCTTATGGAAAGTTGTTTCTGGTTTGTTAGATTCAGACGATGGTTTATTCTTAGATCATCTACCAAATTTCGGGCTATGAAAATGTTATTTAGCTGAGTTCAGGAAATGACATGCAAAGAAATCATGGGGTACAAAGATTTTGTTTAGAAATGGCAAGGTTCAATAGTGTTGTGGTCGTTAGCGTCGCATTTAGGACGTCCAGGGTCAAGGGAGTTACGTTAATGATGAATAAACGAGTAAAATTGAAAGTAGAGGACCATAAATTTTCCCCATAAAATTCATTCACTCACACAGCATTTGAGATTTATTGATGATGCTTACTGTTGGTGAAAACCTTTACTACAATTCCTGACCCTAATCAAAATCTTTCACTCCATATTCTGATTCTTCATATTATTTCGATCATAAAATATTGTTGAAAATTTCTAAAGCCGCCTGAAGGTCACTTGAAGGTCATTTATAGATTGTGGTCAAGAATCATAGTAACTCAAAGTTCTGCATTATTTGTCATTCTGCTGGTTTCAATAAGGTTAACTCATAGTTCCTGAACTTTGTTTTCCTAACGTTCATTCGGCTAGTCTGAAGGTCGTAGCAAAACTTTGAAGGGCGTTATTTGGCTTATTCACACGGTTCTCCGTGCATATTTCTTGTAATATTATGGTACATTCATTAAACCATGCACAGAAAGCCTAAACTAGCTATTTATGTTAAGGTTCTAGATTGCGCCCATGAAAACGACCTATCATTATTATATCGTCCAATTTTCTCTCGGACGTTTCTATCCTAGTATTTTTCTCTCGAATAAAGTATCTGACTACTTTTCTGTTTATTTACACAGAACTATTTTGTTGCATTGCTCGCTGTTACTTATAAAAATGGGCGACACGGTAAGTTTTGAGCCTGTGTAATCCATTAAATACCTAATTAGGTATTTAATGGATTAACTTTTGCCATTTTAAAATGTTCGAGATTTCGGACATTTGTTTTTAGATATTTTATCGGTAAAATGTCCTGTTGAAGAAGTAAACATGTTTTTCGCTAAAACTAGAAGTTTCCATAGACAGCTTTGCTTCGTAGCTTATTTCATTGCAGTGAAATTCGACTGATCAGTCGTAGTTTGAGTTACGATTGCAAAGTATTTAAGTTTCACGATGACACTTATGATACAGACAGTCTGAAGTCCTCGAGTTCTATTTAGACGAGACTTGAACTGATAATTAGTCCAATTGTAAGACTAACATTTCACACTGAAATTCAGGTGTCAAATTTTAGTACCATAAGTACTTATCAAACACTCGGTAGGCTACAAGTTACTAACGAGAAATACAAGGATGTGCATTCACACAAAGTCAGGTTAGCTATATGACACAATTTGACCTTCAAATGTTAGTGTGGCGAGACTATAATTTATGCACGGACCAATCAGATACAAGATAACGACTAATAAATTATAGCGCGAAATTCATTCATACGTTTGACTAAATGGGGTTTTGGCACTATAGCTGATATCAATTCGTAATGAAAACTCTAAATCTATTTTTTTAACCTTAACCATCAACCGTAAATCATGATTCTAACTTATTTGCAACCCTCATATAGTCCTAATCAGTAGGTATCCATTCTCAAGCTCACTTCAGCGTCGCTCAAAGGTCGTCCATAAATTATAGTCTCACCTATTTGTTCTTAAATTTTTCGAGGTCTTCTAAGGATTTAAAAATATGTATTAAAATTAAAGGGAAAAATGTATTTGTAAAATCTTAGCGAATGAATTTTAAGTAAATCCAACGTTTCGCCTGGCAATCTGGTCCAAGCTTTTTCAAGGAAAATTATAATCAAACAACAAAATTATCGAATATAAAAAAATTGTATTCCTTTGCCATGACATACAGCTACTTGAGTTCCACATTTATACGGTTAAATTTACTACATCTAGTTTCGCAAGTAGTCCTGGTATCCGATTCTTAGATTCTACCAGTGTCAGTTTAGAAGTATTATCACCAAGAAAACGAGTTTTTATTTCACGTTTGTTTGAAATCCGTTTGGTTTTCTTTGACGTTTCGTCACGTTAAGGAATGACTAGTGTTTTTTTTTGTTTTTCTGTACTAACCTTGTTATCAATCTTTGGAGTGTGCACTTCATATATGTTTAGCTTTGTGTATTGTATACCCGACATTTAGTTTGTCTGCTCCTAACTGTACTTTTGCGTGTCAATAAATACTGCTACTAAGACAATGTTTCCAAAAGCATATCAGATCCCAATACAAGATCGAATATTGCATAATTTTATATAGCTTTATATTCAATGATTGTGCTTTGGGTGTTTTTACCCTTTACATAACCTTATTTCCTATATCCTGAAATCTTATACCTTTCTGTTTATTTTTTAACACCTGACATTTCCTACCGCTATTAATTTTGTTATTACTTCTACTACTCTGGGATTCGTCTTGGTAATTTTATCTTGCTGTCCTAATGGGATATGGGAACTTAAAGTGACACACTTGTCAGGTTCTGTGTAGAATATGCGCGCTTGAACAGTACTTCTATATTTGATTTTTCTGCTTAAATCATCAGGTTGGTCCCGCAGCGTATGTCCTTTTTGACGAACTATACACCAAAGAAAATGTTTTTCACTCCATAATAACCAATAACAAAACTCTAAATATTCGTCTACTGGGAAGGTATGTGTACTAATTTATTGGTTTAATTATGTACTGTGCTTGCATACATGTTGAGTCTAGGTTAAGTGAGATCATTTTGTTTATGCGTGGAACGTAAATAAAGAATTACAAAGGCAAAATAACCGTATTAAGTATTTTTATGATTATATATTGGCTACTACTTGTGAAGATTCTAATCCTAGATCAGTTATTCATAGTAATCAAAGTTAAGCATTCAAACTTTCCAACTAAATATATCAATCGGCCTGTGCCAAGATCACAGTCAATATCTACGGATTAAAGTGTTAATAATATTCATCAATACTGACTTGTTTTTGTCTGCCAACATGTGTTCAGCTAACTAAAACTTCTCCAATCATAGGCTAGTTATTTCGACATGTTCCCTATCTAGTGCTCTAAGGAAACATGTAGGTTATAAATGTAAATCCCTTATCCTGGTAAGTCAGTCGAGTTTCTTCTTGCCTAAACTCGGTAGATTATTATCACACTGTAGCATATCTTAAACACTGTCGAATTGCCTGATTATTGAATATGCGAACAGGAGTTTGTGTTTCGTAACTCAGTATCATGATTATTTAAAAGTTAATATTTGCCTTCTATTTAGAAGTCTGTTATTTAGTCTTAGATTGTCGGTACGTTGAACTTTTGAATGAAAGGTTGATTTCTCATGTCACTTTTTTTTTTACAAATTCTTAATTTATTTCATATATGGTATACAGATTTTCTGCCTTCAAAGCTGATAGCAATCTGGTTGAATTGTTGTCTCCATTTCAAGGTGGTGCTATTCCTTGCATTATTGTCAATGTAAAATATCTAACTGAAAACCAGAAGCAATGTTTTTCAAGTCAGACAGCTAATGAACGCTTAATACAATTTATTGGAGAGTTAAGTATATCAGAAGATAAAAAACACTATCACCTTACAGCGTTTTCATTTACCTTTATGGATGGTGTGAGTCTAGATTTATATAGAACTGTAACAAAGATAACTCGAAGTTATATTGCCTACTTACCGTCTGTATGATTTATTTTGAAGCTTTTTTGTGTATATACTGCAGTTATCCCTGTTTTTCCTATGTGGTAATTCAATGATTTATTGAAAGAATGAATAGATTGTGAGTAAACGATTCTGTTATTTTTCAACATATTTATTTGTGATTGTATTTGAAAATCCTTAGGTAAAATAACGCGAACTAATTGATTTACGAGTACAGATATCTGACTGGAAATTTCTTATGATGTTCACTTGTACTAAACGAGATACTTTTGACTACATATGGATTTACTCTTCATCTTACTTTATGTCTTGAGTTCCAAAATTATTTTTGTTTTGCTTTTTATACCAATAACTCATCATTTCTTCTCGAATCATATTATCCGTTTAATCTAATCTGTCTAATACCACCGATACTGCTACTACCATTATTACAGCTGTTTATTTGTCTTGGTAATTTTATGTCGCTGTGGCGTGTGACAACTAGAACTACTGTACATTTTTGCCAGGTTTTACGTTGATCATGGCTGGCTGCTTAAAGGAGGCGTTAATGGCATGCGCTTTATGTGGAAATACTAAATTATTAGACCATCGTTATATATGTAACTAATTTTCTTGATGTTGAGCCGTTTTTAGTCACTTGTGATGTAAGTGAGTTATCAGTCTTTCAACCAAAAGACGATTATACCACACAGCAGTTCACTCGGTTGCATTTTATTGTTGCAAAACGCATTCGTTAAGAATATGTGGTATTGTTATGTAAAGATGGCAAATCGTTTGATGAGGCAGTGCATCCTTATTAATCAAGGTAGTTGGGACATGTGTCACGTATCCCTGAACACCGCCTATCTTGATGCTCGATGATGATGGTTTGTGTATGAGTAGACTAGGTGTGGCCCAACTGAGAAGTGTCACCAATTTATGAAGTTATTAGCAATTAGACCAAGCCATAGTAATAGATGTAGACTACCTGGTTGGTGTCCGCGTGATTATCGTAAGTAATAAATATAGATTTTGGGTAACATAACAGAGTATCGCTCGCAACAGTGGAATTGCATTTACTCCTAGTCTTACTCTAGAGCTTCAGTTCCGAGATTTCATACCTATTTTGTTTTTCCATACCGAGTCTTTTCTTCTACTAATACTGGGACTGCTACTCTGAAATGTTATCTCACCCTGTTAATGTGGTGTGGCAGTTTCAGCTGATATACGCATCAGGTTCTCTGTATACAATGATGATGAACATTTTTGGTTAGCATTTTGTGTTTCGCGTGTTGATTATAGTTCTATGTTGATAAATTTAACTCAATAAGAGTAGATGATGATTAGGAAACTTAAGTTGTAAAATATGTATTGTGTTTTTAGTAAAAATAAACTCTGAAGAGAAACCCATTTATTTTCTGTACAACTTGGACGTGCCTGTAGAAGTGTTACGGCACTCACAATCCAGTTCACTAATAAAAAAGTATATCTATGTTTTCAATGCATGTTTTAAAAAATTCAGAGGTAATTGTTGCGCTAACAGTTCAATCAATAATTTGTTCGTCTGACGGATATTTAATAAATACCCGCTAGTTAGAATGTATTTAATGTCGGCTAATTAACAACGATTATAATTTTTTATCAAATATTACATTCACGCTTAGTTATTTTCATTGCCCTTCGACAGTCTGATATAAATCTCCATTGGCTAAGTTGACTAAGACATCTTAAGTCGCCTCCTACTTGGGACCTCTTTGTTCAATAACTTAAGAATAGGTTGGAAAGGTAGTTATGACCAGACCAACATATGAAGTAACTAACCGTTGGTCTCAAACAAAACAAGCATAAGCTAAGCTATATGATATGGTTAAAAATTAGTCGCACCTGTACAGATGACCATCATTTCTTGCTTTTAAAAAAAAACAAATATAATGCTTTTAAGTGGTCCGCTACTCATCAAAGTAATTCGGTATCATATAACTTTGATATCGATGCTTAAACTTAACTGTGAGATTGGTTGGCTATAAGATAATATCGATACAATGCGGTGTACTTTCCCTGTTCGAAAAGTACCTACTTTAGCATTAGGCGGTAAAGGTTTGTGTACATTTCTTTTGCGCCTATGTGAACAAACACTAGGTTAGAACGAATGAGTCCTATTGATTATTCTCTATAATTGATTAATTTATTAAATTGTCTTTCTTCAATTGTCGTGATGTTTTCTATTTCATTTCAACAAATCATTAAAACATAAACCATCATCATAACAAATCAGTAAAAATTAGTTATATAAAGTGTTGGTTCGTGTAATACTTATCGTTGTCATACATTTTATAGAAGAGCAATTAAATATATCGTGTTTGTTTATTCTTTTTGTTATTATTAGTTTAGGAAAATAAACTATCTGTTTATGATTTTACTAACTATTTTAAGATGTTAGAGATTTATTATTTAAAATAAATTGCATAAACTTCTGAGTTAAAAATCCATTACTATCTTAAATAAGAACAGCACATGTAAGCGAGCGATATCGTTCTTAATCAGATCATCAAGTCTTACTATAGCATGCAAAAATATTTATATGAATCTATGGAAAACATTAAGCGGGTCAACACAATTTATGAGTCAGTCCCAACAATAAAATATTGGAATAGGTTGGAAATACAAATTAACAGTAAGTATACTAGTGGTGATAAGAATAATGAAAATAGTAAGAGTATTAGTTAATATTTTAACATAGTACGTAGAGCGAAACTTGGGTAAATAAATATTGAGTGATACGCAAATTACTGATATACGTATTCATAATCATTATTAATTATTAGGACTGCCATCTAAACCTCTTACCAGTAACTATGTCGCTCTGTTCGGTAACATTTTTACTTATCTGTATCTGTGAGGAAAGATTTATATTATCCTCCAGTTGAGCCGTTATTGTACTTCACTTCTTTCAGTGTTGTATGTATGTTTTTACAATGCGTTATATCATCGTTGTGATTAAATTCTGTCGATCAAGTTGCAATATTCTCAACAAGCTAAATCAGTTAACATGTTGATGTTCCGTTTTATAATGGGTGGTTAAAAAAGGTTTCGCGTTAGTTAATAGTTGTCAGGCAAGAGACATTGCAATCTTAAGGAAAACAATCGCCCCCGTTAGATTCGAAGATATTTTATTTTGTCACGCTACTATTAAATAACTTGCTGACAGTAAGTGATATACTGTCGGACGGAAATATTTGCGTTTATTCATCGTATCATAGTAACCAAAGGTATACAGTGCAACTTTACCAGTAAAATTCAGTTATTACTAACAGTTACGCTGGATATTTTTTAGTAGTAAATGGCTGTAACTTAGTACTCAGATTTGGCCGGTACTAACCTTTCTAGTTGTAATATGGATCCAAACTATGCTGATATCATCAGTTCTCCCTGAATTGCAAAATTACACTTGGGTAACGATTACCAACTATCATCAAGTGTTAGTCCATGGTTTTCTTTCAATTATCTCCAACAGCTTAACTCATGCCTTTTACCCCTCATGGAGGAGCATAGGCTATGTTAAATTAATATTGTACGTCAAACGTCTTTAGTTTTAACACATGCATATGCACCGAGCGCAAAATTTGACGGTTCACGTAAAGTTAATTCGAGTATACTATATCCCTTAGTCTACCATCAAAAAACTTTTCCCGATTTTCCCAGCCACTTTTTCTCCTAATGACACAGGATTATCGAAGACGTTACTTACACCTGTTACCCCTCATGGAGGAGCATAGGCCGCCCACCATTGTTTTCTATCCAACTCTGTCTTAGACAATCCTTCCCAGTTGTTTTTAGTTGCTATACATCCTTTTGATGTCTGATTCTAATCCTCGACGCAGTGTGTTCTTTGGTCTTCCTCTTTTCCGTTCCCGTTTAGGATTCCAAGTTGGCGCTTGCCTCGTGATGAAGTTTGGTGATTTCCTCAATCTATGTCCTATCTACTTCCAACGTCTCTTCCTAATTTCCTCTTGAGCTTGAAGCTTGTTTGTTCTCTCCCACAGTAGGTGGTTGCTGATGGTTTTCAGTCAACGGACATTGAGTATCTTGCGCAGACAATTGTTTATAAATACTTGCATCATTTTGACAATGGTTGTGGTAGTTCTCCAAGTCTCAGCTCTACACAGTAGAACTGTCGTGACGCTCACACTGAAGATTCTGACTTTGATATTGGTTGACAGACAGTTGTTTTGAGTTCCATATGTCCTTCAACTGTAGGGATTCTGTCCTTGCTTTGCCAATCATCGCCTTTACGTCCGTATCACATTCTCCACGTTCGTCGATGATGCTATCCAGATACGTGAAACCTTCCACCTCATCCAGAGTTTCTCCATCAAGTCTGTTTGGATTGCTGTCCTCTGTGTTGAATTTAAGGATATTGCTTTTCCGTTGTGTATGTTGAGGCCTACTGATGCAGAGATTGCTGCTATACTGTTTGTCTTGACCTGCGTTTGTTGATGCGTATGAGATAAAAGGGCCAGGTCATCTGTGAAGTTCAAGTCGTCTAGATGCATGCAAGCTGGAGTGATATCTATAGGAAGGTCTATGTGTACTGCTTCGATATCTGATAGACTCAATGGTGGTCTGTTTGAGAGTTCCTCAAAGTGTTCCTCCCATCTATTCCTCTGTTCTTGAATTTCAGTGATTAGCCTGCCTTCTTTGTCCTTAACCAGTTTTTCTGGCTTATCATATTTCCCTACTAGTTTCTTCGTTGTGTCGTATAGTTATTTGATGTTGCCTTGACTTCCAGTTTAATCGGCTGTCGTTGTTAGGCCTTTTACGTATTCCTGTCTGTCAGATCTAATGTTCTTATTTACTTGTTCGTTTGCTTATGTGTAATTGGTCTAAGTATTGACCTCCTCTGTTCTTGTAAACTATAATTCTCTTCGTCACTATTGAAATGGATCCCCGTCGACAGTCCCCTATGTACTGTTCGATTAAACGGCTCAGTAAGAACTCAAAAGGACAGAGACAGTACTCGTAGCAGGTGACTTGAGTGCCCAGGTAGGAAGCTTAAACCAAACAAAAAGGCATTTAGGCGGGTATTTTGTTATTCTGGCTCAGCGAAAAGTTAATGGTGACTGTCTGATGTAACTGTGTTCAGACAATCGTTTATTTTTAACAAGCGATGAATTAAAGCATAAGGAGAGACATGGCGACTACCTGAATCAAACCGACGATGGACTAAAATAGATCATATTGACATCAGTTATCGTTGGAGAGGCGCAATGGAAGACTGTCGCTCGTTCTGGAATACCTGTTTGGACTCCGATCATGCTCTAATACGATCACACATTTGCTTGCACCTCTCTGGACTCAGGAAAACCACATTAAGAAGACCAATCCGAGTCGGACTCAGTGACAAGTAGACCAAAAGTGGATCCCAGGGGCAACTGAGTTCACACCTCGATAGTTTTGAAAGTGAGGCTGACCCAGATGTTGCTTGGAAAGATATATGGACAGCTGTGGAAACAGCACCGACATCCATTGGTGATTTAAACCAAAGCTTTGAGAAAAACATGGACTTTTACTAAGTCCCATAAACTCATCCCATGAAAAGAGATAGAAAAGGCAGCGGCTGTATGTAACACCAGACAGCTTTTCAGACTAATAAAACAAACTGGAACTAATAAGTCGAGTGTAAGTCAGACTATTTCGGAAAAAGACAACACCCTCATTTGCTCCCAGTCCAGACGTTTAGAACGATGGGCAGAA